AGAAAAGCTTTCCAGTCTTTTAATTCATTTCTTTTTTGATGGTTTTCATCTTTTTGGTTTCTAACGAAGGTCCATTCCTATCCTAGCTAGAATTATTTTACTTAATAAAACTAATATAGTATTTAAATAGGAAATAGGGGGTGTAATATCACATTGGGTACTTTCATAGCACAAATATAGATAGAAATCTTTAATCATAGGAATCCTTTCTAAGAGCCATATCTTCTCTAACTTAGCTATTGCTAGATTGAAGGTATTCATCAGCCTGATCAAACAATTTATCTGACCCTTACTCAAATTTAGTCTAAAAATAAGAAGACTATTAGTCTTTAGATTAATTTAGATTTTTTATAATAAAGTTTCTACTATAACATTATATTAATAATAAAAAAAAAATAAAAATTTTTTTAAATCTATACAAAATCTAAGCTTGCTATTTTTCTTTTTAACCAAAACAACAAGAAAGCTCTAAGGGCTTTTAAATTTTTGAATAATACTATCTTTTTCCATTTTTGCAATTTCTTTTTCGATATGTTTTTGTTTAACTAGTAATACTCTATAAGCTCTTTGTTTGATCGGATAAGATTTACCAGTATTAATAGTGTGGTATACGATATTAGTTTTCTTTAGTTCAGCAAATTCAGTTACAAAAATATCAATATTGTTATATAGTAGTTGGGTTATAATTTGTTGTTGGTTATTGTTCAAGGTATGTCCAATGAAGATTGATTTGTTTTTACTAATTGGTATAAATACTTTTTCTTTTTATCTTTGATTTCAATAATTTCTGGTTATATTAGTTTGAAAATATTTGGTGAAGAGAGATTTAAGAGATTATCAGCATTTTTTATTTTTACATTTGCTATTAATTGTTTCTTAAATTAGGCAAAAGTATCTCTAACTTGAATAGTATAGTATATAGATTGGTTTAGTAGGCTCATTATCATCTTCTAATTCTAAGGGGCATGCTATTTATCATGTAATGTTTTTTAATTAAGAACCTTATCTATCCATGTATGGTGTGATCATATAGTTGAAAATTAGAAGAAAATCGAACCAAATCAGACCAAACTGGACTAAATTAAACTAAACAAAATTTCAGATAAAAATAAGTCAGAATCTGGTTGCAAAGCCAATTAATTTATTCAAGATTTTAAAAATTTTGTTATAAGGTCATAACTAATTCATTAAATCAAATATCTAGCTAATAATTTATAGGCTCTGTTAGCACACTTCAACTCAGAATTTTAAAGATTGCCCTGTAAAAAAAATAATTCATACAAGGAAATTTTTAAAATTCTAGATTATAATACAACAAAATTCTAGTTGTAATAAATACCGGCCTAGCATCAAAACATTTCAACCCAGAATTTTGAAGATTGTTCTAAAAAAAAATAAAAAAATAACTATCAGATAGCAAAAAAGTTCAATATGATAAAAAAAAAATAAAAAATAACTATCAGGCAGCAAAAAAGTTCAACATGATCAAAGATAGTACCATGGATCTGGTAGCAAACAGGTACACATGTATATACATATATATGCATACCATTGTTCATAAACTCAACAATATATTTTGATACCATGTTTAATTTTTTTAGTCACTCAACCAAGTCGGGCAACATAAACGTTTAACAATATAATCAAAAAATAGTACTGTGGATCTGGTAGGCATATATAAGTATATATACTGTATATATATATATACAGAACATGCATGCCATTGACATAAACTTAACGGTATATTATAATATCATATTTCAACTTTTTTTTTTGGCTACCCGACTAGAGAATACAATCTATTATCAATTTTTGGCCCAAATTAAGGTTAATTTGGGCTGAAAATAGATAACAGATCATATCTCTACATCTGACAAAGTCGAACAGAATGATAATTCTACTTATTAAGAAATGTAAGTATTAAAAGAAAAATAGCAATTTCTAAATTTAAATTGATTAAGACTTAAAATATCACAATTGTTGTAATCCACTATAATTTTAAAATACTTGTGTATAAAAAGAAACTTTAATAAATAAGGTTTCAAATCTCTATCTAAATTTAATAAAATATCTTTGAATTTGAATTACCTCAGATAGAAATAAAATCACAAGTTATATAAGTTAGATCTCTCATCTGAAAAAAAAGAAAAATACAAAGTTTTTTAAAACTTTTCAATTTTGATAAACACTTATTTTATAAACCTCTATTTAATTTGTATCAAGAATTCACTAACATTTATACCTATTATAAGCAGATAACCCTTTGCAACCCTAACCCTAATAAACAAAAATTATTAAGTGAAGTCTGAATAGTATGGAAGAAAATAAAAAATAAAAACAAAGCAGTTATTCGTGAAAAGATCCAATCATACTTAACTATGATTCCTAGCACAATTCATATACAACATAACTTTATAGTAAACATTAACTCCAACAGAGCATCTATATCCACAGTAGCTTTATCCTCATCCATTTCATCAGTAATTTTACTACAACAATTTGATAATACTAATACTATTGCAAAAAATGTAGTAGGCTAATAAAATACAATAGCTAAAATCAAGGAAACAACTCAATGAATATTCAAATATAAACAAGCAATTAGAACTATCAGTAACTAAAAATTAAAAAACAAATTATCAGTCAAAATTGAAGTAAATCATGTGATTATTAAAGTAAATGAAAAAAGGCTAGAAAAACTTAACCATCATACAGAAGCTTAAGCTAAACTTAGGGCAAAAAAACAAAAACAACTTGACAATAAAGGTATTGTTAAAAAGTATAACAAATCTGAACGACCACTGGTAGCTATGTTAAATCTAGATCTTTGGGACAATATCCACGATTGTATAGAATTTGGACCTGCTCATGCTAAAAAATGAAAAACAATAATTAAAGTTCGTACAATTAAACATTTGCATGAAGTATTAGAAGAAAGATATAATATTTATCTCTCACGCCAATATTTGTCAGCATATTTGGAATCTTAATATAGACACATGTTTGCAGCTCATCATCACCACCATCCTGCAAAAGTTGGTCTAGCATCAGTAGCAAGAACCAATATAAAACAACATGTTGATAAACACTATTGTTTGGTATCCATTAAAGTAGCTTAAGTTTTTGCGATGATATTTGCAAGTGATACTGTTGTTATTTCACAAAACAACAAGGCTAAAATTAGTTTGGATATTCCTGTAGTAGGCCATACGTTTAAGACTATGCAATTAATAAATGAACCAGTTACTGTTGAAGATCATGATTTTTCTAAAGAAAACTTATACCTTCAGTATACCTGCTTATTGACCCTAATGATTCAAATACTATGCTTCGCTCTGGACAACTTGCTATCTTTATTAGGCCTGAATATTTTGTGAGCACATCCTTATTGACACATATAACTAATTTATTAAGCCTTGTCAACAACCAAGATTTTGCCTTAGTTTTATTAAAAGAAAATGACATTAGACCGATCTGGGTTCTTCTTGTTGATAGAGAGCCTGACAAAAATCCAAAACATTTTAAGAATATTATTGAGTATTGTAACTTATTCCAGGCTCTAGATCTTGATTACTTAACTGTCTGCATATATGTGCCACATCAAAGTGCTTATAATCTTGTAGAAAGAAGCATGGCTTCTTTATCTGAAAAACTTGCTGGTATTACTCTACCTATAAATGAATATGGTATGCATTTGGATTCTCAAGAAAATGTAGTAGATAAAGAGTTAGCATGGTGTAATTTTGAATTTTCAGGAAATAGATTATGTAAATTTTGGAATAGAGATGATATATATGGTAAACCTGTAATAGTACACTATGTCGATCAAATTAGTCAACCTTTTGATGATATTGATGATATTGTATCACCAATATGAGAATGAATTGAATGTCATGCTCAGTTATGTTGATATTCATTAGATCTAAAGAAATGTAAGAATCATTAGTATTGCCATAAATACAGAGCTCCTAATACAGCACTTTTACTGGACCAAAATAATAAGCTTCTCTCTCCAATTGCCAAAGAAAAGAATAGACATTATATTGACCTGATACATGCTCTCCAATATTTTAACAAATTAAAGATTCCACAATATAATAATTCATGTCTATCAATTTCAAAAAAAATGTACCAGCTTTTATATTGTAGTAAGTGTGGTAAGTATTATCCTATTTTGAAGTTCATCGCAAATTACAACTGTCAACAGCATCTATCCAAATGTAGTCGATCTCGAAAGCAAGTTAATGAGACCTCACTAGATGTTAACTTGTTAAACTTTAGAGTTGCCGAAGATATAGTTTATCATGATTTGTTGGAAGATAAAATTTCAAATTCGCGTGAAATACAATCTGAAAATGAATAGGAATTAATAGATATTAGAATCTATAACTAATATTTGTTTAGTTAAAAAAAAATATAAATATAAGCCTATTAGCTAACAATCTACATACTTCTTTTTATATAATCTGTATACAGTCAGAACTCTATAAATGCACTACCGTCGGGACCATAGGAAAAAAATTTAAAATAGTGTATTTAAAGAGTGTGTGCATTTATAGAGTAGAAATTATATATAGCTCTTATGAGTTGGGACCAGACTATGCCGTGCAT